GAAGCCCTATCAATAAGTGTTGTTCCATAACCAGGTTCCTTTCCCTATAAGATAAAACTTAATAAGAATGTATGTTGGTGCAAGATCAATCTATCTAAAAAGTAAATCTACTTATACCTCCATAATATTTAAATCCTTCAAGAGAAAGTCCAAATTCATTAACACGGCACACAATTACATGCCTTTTATGATCAGACTCAGTTAACATCAATTTACGAGGATAATGAATTACTCACACAACACCGTCTCTCCAAATACCAAGACGAAAAGTTGACAAGGAAACAAGGACTTTGTCAGCAAAGTTGGCGTAAGTAAAAATGTACTTGAAATTAATTGATCTTTGGGGAAATGTTTAATGAAAGAGTAGGATTTACCTCAAACAAAAAGACCCTGTCCTCAGGAACTAAAATTTTAACAGCTCTTACTTTTTTTTTTCCTTTCAAAATTGAGACTTTATTGGTTGTGTTGAGGAATAATACACAGACATTTCAATTTGTACATAATTCTTAACATACATACCAAAAATCTAAAATGTCATGTACTGTGATTCTTTTTAAACTGTTATTCCAGTGAATTCCTGAGATTTTCCCTTTTTAAAAGTAAAATTTTTAATTAAGATTAAAATGGGTTATCTAACATAAATCAGTTATGTGAAATCAATGGGACACCTTTATCTAGAAGCCAAAGCAAATTCCACCCATAGTGAGAAGTGAAAGAAAATGGAAGATTGAAAAATCAACTCATCTACATTAGAGCCTTAATAAGAAAACTCAGATCATTGTAATGTCTAATAATGAACCAAGGTTTTGTTTTTACTGTCATCCCTGGGGAACCCACCTATCAGAGGCAGAGCTAACCTGCAGAATGAATGGCCATGATTGGCAGACAAGAGGACAGGAGAACAAAACTGTACGGAAGAAGAGACACAATAAAGAAAACGACAGTGTCTCAGAAGTCAAGGGAATTCACTAGTATAAGTGCAAATACTATGTCATTTCTGTTCATTAAATCCACATTTTCACATTTTCCTGGCTATCTACCAACCTCTCTCTCCATGACTTCTTGCCCAATACATTTGCTGAATCATTTCGTCCTCCTCCTTCTATGCTGATGTTCCCTGACTCCAGCTCAAACTTCCAAAACACATGTCCAAAACTGAACTCATCATTTCCTCTTCCTTGTGCATTCCCCATCTCAGACAAATGATACCGTTTGCTCAATTGACCAAGACATAAACTTAAGAGTTCAACTTCAATTCTCTTTCTTATCCCCAAGGCCAATGAATCACCTAGTCAAATTGATTTTGCTTTAGTATCTTCCAGCCCAACATCCCTCCAATCTCAAAGCCACTGCTTCAGTGAATTATTCATTATCTGACAATAGCTGCCTAATTGCTATCCCTGACTCCAGGAATGAATACCTGTGCCCAATCCATTTTCCATAATGGTGTTAGATCAATCCATCCAAAATGCAAATAATTATCTTAATTGTTATGATGGTTTCACAGGTATGTGTGAGAGAGAAAACTTAAGAGTGCACATTTTTAATGTACAAAGTTTATTGTATATCCAGTACACTTCAATAAAGCTGCAACAGCAAAAATCTGGTCATATCTCTGCCATATTCAAAATCCTTCAAGATAAAGTTCAAATTCATGACATGGCACACAAAGTCCTTAACAATCAGACTCCAGTTAAACTCTCTACCTTCATCCCTTGCCACTGTCCTTATACGACATTAGCACCAGTGATACAGAGCTGCGTCTAATTCCTCAAGTGTATTGATTCTCTTTCTCTCTCCCACAAATATTTTTTAGATGCTTCTCCTTCTTTCAAAATGTGTCCACCCTCCTCCATTCCTCTGCCTGACAAACTCCTACTTATTCTTAAGGACGTGGTTTAGGCATCATCTCCTTTAGAAAGACTTCTCCGTCCCAGCAACAGGATTGGGTGCTCTTCCTGTGTGCTCCCAAAGCTCCCTAGCCACACTTTTATTGCTAAACCATAGATTGTTTGCCTTTTCTTCTCCCCACTTGACCTTCAGCTCATTGGCAAGAAGTTAGTGTGTTCATCCTCATCAAATCCTCAGTTCCCAGTATGTGCCTGACACAGAGCAGATACATACAGTTAAAATAAACTGCTATGTTGAAAATTGGTTTATGGAATTAATTTGCCCTAAGTAAAAGGAAGAAACTGACTCTGTAGATGAAATATTGATAATTATACTTAGGTCCTAGCAGAAATACAAACAAAAGGCCAAAGAAGAGCCCAATGATGACACTGTAACAATCCAGAAATCATCCCAGGGACTCAGAAAGGACTTACCCTGCCTCATTAGGTCTAAATGTGTACAGCAATGGTATTAATACACATACCCTCATGTTCAGACTCTTAATATTCCGCTTGATTCTTCTCTGTCTCCTTCCCAGAATGTTGTAGGTTGGGTGAGCATGCTTAGAAGGCTTATCTATGCACCCACTGAGAAAGAATATTGTGCCTATGAGTACCTATGTGGTATCTTCTAAAAAAAAAGAGTAAAACAAAAACATATAAAAAGCCTAATGTAATATATTCATTAAATGGTTCTAAACAAATTCAGCAACCAAACAGACTTGGATCTAACAGAATGAATAAATGATTATTGAAATAGATGAACCACTGTTCTGACAAAACAGTATTTCTCATTGCATTTTCTGAACAAGCAATGTTATACAAATAGAGATATTCCTTTTGGCTCATTCTTGTATAGATTTGTTTTGAAGAGTTTAAAGTGGTAAGCAATGGCAGATCCAGGAAAGTAAGTGCCTCAAAGACATTTAAGTGCTATAAAGGGCTACAGCATTCAGTAATTTATGGATTTAGATCTGCATTTACTGCTTTCTTTAGCCAAAGTTTTTATTTCAGATTACTGGTGGACTTTTTTTCTTATGTGACCTATCTCCAAATCCATATTTAAAGAAAAATCAGAATAGAACTCCTTTTATAGCTCTTCTACCAAAAACAACAATAAAATACAATTTTAAAAAAGAATAATCATTGAAAAAATGGTATTTATTATAGATGGTTTTGTTGGTTTGTAACTATTTATTTCAAAAAGATGCACCTATGAAGAAACATTAATCTAAAATTACAGAGTACTTAATAAAAAAATTAATGTCATTATCAGTTGGATAAATACCTATTAAATATATATAAGACTTTCTTAATTCATAAAAAATAAAAGGACATTTATTTCTGGGACAGGTATGCTTTTTCTAGTCCCTTTCAGTCAAAAATTCTAGGCATTTTACCAACTTTCAACAAAATTTTAAAACTGATCTTGAATCAGAGATCACAACTAAAATGTCTAATCCCATTTCACTGCTGTTTCTATTAAGATATTTTATAGCTACCATAACTTGTGCACGGTGGAAACCTCTTAGTCTGTCATATATATGCTTATGTTATAGAATTTACATTGTCTTTTAAGTTACAAGATTTAAGAGAGTTCTACAAGTCTGTTAACAGTCCACATTCCATTCTAACTCTAAAAAGATACTGTAATTTCTTCAGTACCTGCAAACTCATCTCTTTTTGCAATTCAGGGATATAAGTCTCATGCATGAAAATTCAAATAAAAGACAGTAGTGGATAAGTACATAGTAAATTTATAATAGGCATGTAGAAAATAATTCTACTAAATTCATATCTGAATTTTAGAGATACTTTGCATGGGCAGATTCATAAATTTTATATTTAATAGCCCATGGATTCTATTTCAACTATTATATAATCTTTGAATGTGATGTTCAATACTACATTTTCTATAGAATTCTCTATTTTAAAGGTTGTGATCTTACCCTGTCTTGCCTGAAAGCAACTTCTATGCCAATCCCTTAAAACCCCAACCTGGGAATCTTCTTGCCCTTGAGTTACCAACAGAGAAACCCAAACAAGGAATTAGAAGATAACATACAGGCTGCTTCTGTTCCTGCCCATCCATGGAGCATGGAATGTGGACCAAGCAACATGGTCCTTCCTTAAGTTCATGATACCCAATATAATGTGTAGGTGACATAGCTGAGTTTCTACCCCTGCCCTGACTCTGCTTATCTTTAAGAAACAGGGCCCTTACGTCAAAAGATTCCCCTTGTGACCAGATCAGCTAAAATTGGTGGGATCCAAGATGGCAGTTCACTTGACCTCTGAAGATTCTCTAATTTCATTATAATCTAATTTCCCTGCTAAACGACACTCCCACTGGGCCATGACAGTTGACAATCACCATGGTGACTACCAGTCAAGACAGAAGAAGGACAAAAAGGAAGCAGTACTCTGGTTCCAAGGATTTCTCTACCCATTCCCAGAAAAGGCCTGAATGTTCCTCTTCCAGGTTTTCATTCTTCCCAACCCTTTCATTAAAGAAAACCTATATTTTAACTCCTTCACCTATCACAGGATGAGAGGTTGATTTGTGAGACATGCTCCTGCTTCTCCATTCCTTGGCCAATGAATAAGTTTGTACTGCCTAATGTTCACTTTTGGTTCTGTTTTTGTTTTTTGTTTTCTCATTTCCCTAAGCCTTTATTTTTTAACTTTTATTTTTTATTTTTTTTATTTCAGAATATTATGGGGCTACAAATATTTTATTGGCTTTGCAACACCAGGCAGGAAAGAACCCCAACTTTTAGGGAAAAACTGACTTAGTCAGTGATACTCAGGATACAAAAATGAACAAAGCATGACTCTGCTATAAAGAAAAGAGTATCTTGGGGAAAAATTTGAGTCATGATTAAATAAGCTAATCAATTAAATGCAATGCTACACATTCAGCAATACAAAAATGAACAAGTTATGCTGCTAACAGAGTAGAGAACAATAAAATCTACGTTGATAGGGGCAGTGAGTTAGCACAGACTATGGGACTGGATACTGTATAATGATTTGATTATGAGTAGCAATGAAGAAAATCAGGAGAGAACAAAGCACATACAAAATACAAACACAACAAATATGGTGTACCTGGAAATCTTCAAAAAGTCAATTACTGCTGGAGTTTAGGATTTAATGAAATGAGTTGAATTGGATGAAGACTAGAGGGAGATGAAAATGAGAACAGGTAATGTTCAATTGTTTAAACAACTTTTTTGAGGACACATAGTCCAAAGGTAGCAGTCTTGCTCCCTCTGCTCTCCAACACTGCCTTGGCTCGGTTTTGCAACATGGGTTAGTTACAGCCAAAGTAAATTAGGAACCAATATCTGGTTCCAGAGCAGCAGTTCTGGATCAGCAGCACCATAATCATCTAAAAACATTCTAAAAATGCACATTCTCATGCCCATCCCTGACCTACTGAATCAGAAACTATGGTGGTGGGGCCCAGTGGTCTATGTTTGAACACGTCCAGGTGATTCTGATGCACGCTACAGTTTGAGAATACTAAATTAGACGGAGAGTGCAGGCAATTTTAGGAAACCCCTGAAGTGAATTTTAGCCCAGTTTTCACCTCTGCTATTATCATACTAAATAAGCTTTCAGAGCATCACCTACCTGTGGCATTTTGTCATAAGGGAAAACAAAGGATTTCCATAGAAAAGAGGTTCCTAAATTTAAATGTACCTATGAATCACCTGAGGATCTTGTTGAAATGCAGATTTCAATTCAGTGGGTCTAGCAAGAGCCTGAGATTCTGTAAGTCTAATAAGGTTTTTGATGACTCTGATGTTGCAGTTCTAACAACTCCCCTTTGAATAGCAAAGATACAGGAAACTTTTAATTGACAGATAAAATTGTATGTATTTATCATGTACATGTTTTGAGCCATATACATTGTGGAATGGCTAAATTTAGCTAATTATCATGCATTACTTCACAAGGTTATTTTTGTAGCAAGAATGTTTAAAATATTCTCTTTCACCATTTTTCAGGAATACAGTATATTATTAACTACAGTCAACATGTTGTATAATACAATAGACCTTGTGGACTTATTCCTAACATTTTGTATCCTTTAATCAACAAGGATACAACCACCACCCCCAATAATTACCCCAGTCCTGGTAACCACCATTCTACTCTCTACTTCTATGAGATCAACTTTTTCAGATGCCACATGAGTAAGATCATACAGTATTTGTCTTTCTGTCCTTGGCTTATTTCACTTAACTTTATGTCCTGTAGGTTCATCCATGTTGTCACAAATGATAAGATTTCCTTCATTTTGATGGTTGAACAGTATTCCATTATATATATAATAAAATATATATAAAATATATAGTATATATTATGTATATATAATATATATCACATTTTCTTTATTCATTTATCTGTTAATGGACACATGTTGATTCCATATCTTGGCTATGGTGAATAGTGCTGCAATTAACACGGAAATGTGGACATTTCCTCAACACACTGATTTCATTTTCTTTGGATATATGCCCAGTATTAGAATTTCTGGATCATATATTAATTCTATTTTTAATTTTTTGAGGAGCCTCTATACTGTTTTCTATAATGGCTGTACTAATTTACATTACCACCAACAAAGGACAAGGGTCCCCTTTTCTCTATATCTTCACCAACAGGTGCTATCTTCTGTCTTTGTGATGATGGCCATTGTAATAGGTATAAGTTGGTGGCTCCAGCAAAGCCACAGGGTGGGGCTTCCTGAAGCCTTGGGGACCCAACTCCTGTCCCAGTGTGTCCAGGATGCAGGACATAGGTTTTGACTCTCCAGCTTTAAGACATAATGTTGGTTTCCCTATTAGGATTTAGACTTGAGACCAGTTAACATTTTTAACTTGTTAATGTCACAGGCTCACAGCTGAAGGGAAGTTTGCCGAAGAGTGAATCATGTCTTGAGTCCCACTCATATATGATTTAGATGAAACTCTGGATTTTGGACTTTCGAGTTGATGCTGGAACAAGTTAAGTCTTTTGGGGCTAATGGGAAAGACTGAATGTATTTTTCATGTGAGAAGGACATGACTTTGGGGATCAGGAGTGCAATGCTATGGTTTGAATGTGTCCCCTAAAGTTCATGTGTTGGAATCTTAATCCCTAATGAAACAGTGTTGAAAGGGGGGACCTTTAGGAGGTGATTAGGCCATGAGTGCAGAGCCCTCATGAACAGATTAATGTTGTTATCTTGAGAGTGGCTTTGTCATTAATGCAAGCTAGGCCCTCCCTTGAATTCAAGCATGCTCTCTTACCCTTCCACCCTCTGCCATGGGATGGCACAAGAAGGCTAACACCAGATGCAGACTCCTCCATTCCAGACTTCCCAGCCTCCAGAACTTTAAGAAATAAATCTGTTCTTTATAAATTACTAGTCTCAGGTATTCTGTTATAGCAGCAGAATATGAACTAAAAGAAGAAATTCCCCCCAAGATTCCTAGCCATATATCTTTGTATCTGAAAGCTTTCTCCTTCTATCTAACTCAAATCCTCTCGCTGCAACTTAAGCTCAAACTTCTTCCTTCATCATCAGTGGAAATGAAGTACAGTTGACCCTAATCTGCTTAAACTATGTGCTATCAATCAAAGTTGGCATAAGTCCCAATTAGTTCAGGCTTTGCACCTTGATAGGCTAAGCTAATTATTTGATTTGATTGTCTAAGGGAATAACAGATAACTTACAACAATATCTGACCACAGGCAGCTTAGAACCACTTAGTGAGGTGTTTTTGATGGCTTAATCACTATGTTTCTTTAGACATTCAAGGCCAATCAAAAAATTAAAGTAAACCAAACAGCTGAAAGTGTTGAGATCTAAGTGGGGCCATATGACAAACATTCATCTCATTCATCAAATGTGTCTCCACTGTGGTATTTATTGCTTTGTTAACTTTCACTTACAGTTCCAGCTCAAGCCTAATGTCACCACTTACCACTTTGCTACAATATACAAAACAGCTTTCCACAAAAAATAAAACTTCGATTAAAATGTTATTTGTTATTTAGTTAATGCACATAAATTTGGATCAGGCTTTCTGCAAGATCTCCATGCCAGAGTGCCAATGGTTTATGACAAAGAAAATAGCATGACACTCCCTCTGAAGATGGGCACTCTCACAAGTTTCTTGGTTTTTTCAGTTTTTTGGGTTTTTTTTAATGTATTTACTAAGCATCCCTTGTCTACTTGGAGGATTCCTGATGCTAAAGGCGTTTCATTTCAATAGGTGCTCAGCAGAACAGTGTAGCAGGGACTCTGGGTGAAGCAAAAAGAGATGAACTATAACCCTGCCCTTAAGAAAATTGTCACTGAGCATGGAAGGCAAGAGTGCAGTGGTCAGGAGTGGCTTCCAGAGACACACAATCGGATTTGAATCCCAGCTTTGCCTTTTCCTATCTGGGCAGGTTACATAATCACCTCTCCTTCAATTTGCCCATCTATTTTAAAAATAAGGGGATAAAGCAAAGATGGTTCTCTTTTCACGGAGATATAATGAGGCTTAATCAGTTAACATTTGGGAAACACCTGGAAGAGAATCTGGTACATCATAAATGTTTGATACTTTTTAAAATTAGATAAGAAGACATGAACCTTAACCCATAAACCCAAATAAACCAAAAGCCCCCAAAACACAGTCTTCTGGGGTTTTTTGCTGAAACTGAAATTATTCTTCCCTGCATTTCAAATGGGATGGTGCAAAGTTACTTTTGATCAGTTATCTGGCCATCTCACCCCTCAGTTTTTTAATCTGAACTTATATCTAAATTTGTTACTTAAGGCAGGTTTGGCTACCCGCCACCCAAGAATCAAACACGAGAGGTGAGCGTTAATGAAGGAAAGGTGGTTTATTCAAGTGCCACAGTCTGAGGAGATAGTGGACTGTTGTCTCAAGGACCATCTCATTTTTCTCTGCTTACTGAGCAACTTAGAAATGGAGAGAGTAAACGGGGTCCATGGCCAACAGCAAGTTATGCAAGTCATCATGATTTATTGGATGGTTATCAGCAAACACTAGGTTGCCTGGTGGATCTTGTCATCAGCAGTCTGTGGTTGGCCTGTTCTGGACTCTTTATCTGTTTTTCCCTTAAAGTCATTTTGTAATCTTGTGCCTGACAGCTGTGTAAGCAAGCAGCAGGTTAATTCTCAACTTTTAACACAGAACAAGCTGAAAGCATACTGGAAGCAAAATGGCTTTCCTTTAGCTAGCCTACCGTTATAGTCTACATGGCCCTCAGGGTGTGCTTACAAATTGTTAATGCAAAGGCATCAAAGAGAGGGAATTACAGGAATAAATACCTTTTCTATACCTTCTGTCCACTCTCTTCTGAATCATCCATCATTTCATATTCTTCTTAGTCTTTAATGTAAGCCAAGAGCAAACAAAGATGCCCCTGCTTCTTGTCCTCGGTTCTCTTCAGGTCTAGAGAGCCTCACAACCTCTGCTTTAAAGTTACAGAAAAAGAACTTAAAACTCTTACTCTCTACTACCACTTGAGAAAAAAATTCTTTTTCTTCTGGGGCACTCCAAACTCTGAAATCTCCTTGAATTTACCAACCTAGATCTCTTTGCAAGCCCTTCCCTCTCTGCCTCCAGGGGCCCAATCCCAGAAGCAGCAACATCTGTTCTCCAATCACTTCCCCTCTGTTCTTCTTTCCACCACCATCCCCAGACACCTCACCCTATGCCTTGAAACCTGAAGAGGAATTTTTCTAGTGATGGAAAAGGGAAATCTCTTCCTCTTCAAACCCTCTAATATTTTGTCTAAACTCTTAAATTCACTCCATTCCCCTGAGAGCTTAGTTTTGGAAACCAAAGGCAGGAAGATCTCTCTCTTTGTGCTTTGCCTTCTGTTACATCTTTCCCTGGAGGCAAAGCTCACCTGACAACCTCTCTGCTGGAATGGGAGGGAAGGAGAAGGGAAAACAGGAAAAGATGAAATAAGAATGAGTTAATTGTTTAGAAATGCTATCCAGAAACAAACATGTGCACAAATAACCATAATGCAAGGCAGCATATTCTAAGTGTTATAAGAAAAGGATGTTAAAGAAATTATGGAAATTTTAAGCAGAGAGAGCCCTTTGGGTGGAGCTGAGGGTAGGTCAGGAAAGGGTCGGAAGGACGTAGCATTTAGGCTGCCATGAGGGATGTGACAGACA